GGGAGAAAGGGAAGGTACCAAACCCGAGACCAAGGGGTGGAGGATCCAATAGCTTCCATCGTGTTCGCCGATGGTCAGACGGGCAAAGGAACACGGCCGGTGAAGAGAGGCGACGCAGCGGGAGACCCAGGAAGCAAAGGCATGACGGGATGACGGTGATGACGGTGGCGGTGCCTCGCCGGGCAGCGCACTTCGAGAATTCGGTTTGGGGGTTTGTTTGGGTGGCTTATGCGCCACGCACTTTGCTTTGAGCCGGCCGGCCTCACCTCTTTATATAAAGGGCAGCTATGCACGGGCCCACCACCATGAGGCTGGGCGCCCCACTGCATGCGACTCAAGGGCCCAATAGGGTCATGGAAGCCAAAGTATTGGTTAGAGAGATCATCTTCAACGCTCCGCTCATATGTGGCTAAGATATGAGCTGTTTCACACGCCTTCATACAACAGCCGCCAAGCGCATTCACAACAGGGAGTATTTTCGCAACATTTCCTTTTACTGCAGGTTCACACAAGAAAGTAGTAGATTATCTAATAATTCTTTCATTTACTTCCATCAAGTATTCTCTTGTACTCCTCCATCTTTAGATCATCTCCTTTTCCATTGAGCTTCAAGGCGTCCGAGCGACCAGCGGGGAAGCGATCCCGCGAAGTTACCGACCCGGCTTCGGCCAGGCTGGATGGCGATATATCCTTCGCCGACACAATACCGAGGGAATTAAAAATCACGTCGATGTGCTTGCTGCGGTCGTGCGGGGCAACGGATTCTTCTGAGGGCGATGGAAAATGGTTATCCACCGCCCGGTCTGCGGTGGAGTGTGAGCATCTGGCTTAGGTCAATACGCCCAGCGGCCGGCGCAGCCTTCACAACTTTGGTATGCACGGTATGTAGCGCCCTTCATTACTATTCTCCTGCGTACGATAAACCTACCGCCATGCTATTTGACGACCGTCGAAATTGGAGCCGACCCGAGGAAGGCGAGCACTCCGAGAGGTGCTCGAGTAGATGCGTCGATAATCCCCGCCATATGCGCATCGCTGAATACGTTGGTCGCAACCTACTCCTCGCTGTCTTAGAGCGATCCCCCAGTCACGAGTCACTGGGCCTTGCCGAAAGTATGGCAG